TACTCGTAAATTATAACTTGATGATCTGGATTAGATTCCAGGTTACAATAGATTCAGTATTGTCTCTATAGGGTTAAGTCTATTGAGACATACATGAGACTAATAGGCTCTAGACAGACGGACTGCATTCCAACAGCAATCCAATTTGTAATTAGCACTTCGGATACAGTTAACTGCATTCAATGCAGTGTGCCTGCAATAGAACTGTAAAACCAACCTTGCGGTCCAGTTGCAGTTGGCGTTCAGTCGTTTGGTTTGCAGTTCGTCTGTCTAGACTTATAGAGCCTTATATGACTAGTGAAAAGGCCTAAAACCTAATGTAGGAGTAATATTGCATATTATGTTCATATCTGTCTACGCCTAAGGACGCGAAAGAGCGTGATATTACAAGCGTGAGTAGGTATCATCTAAAGGACATAGAAAATGGACAAAGACAGCAGGTCACTACAAAAGGGGAACTGCAATACCGAATTAACTTACTTGATATGAGTATTGTCTACAAACCGGCCCCATGTGGGTCGCGATGATACAACGATACTCAATTATTTACCTTGTTAGGCCGAAATACGTAAATAGTGGCTGATCTATTAACACGATACGTAAAAGGGAGTTATGTAAGGAAATGAGGATCCGTTACTTATTGTACTCACGATCACTGATCAATGAATTAAATACATTTAGATATAGGCCGTCCATATTGCAATTTGTTCAATGACAAAAAAAACATTTTTCTGTTACTTAGATGCACTTTAATTCTAATTTTGAATGCGACTGCTAAAGGTCCACACAATAGTTTAAGAAACATTCGTTAAAAACATTTTGGGCCCATACAATATTTTCTTATAGTACGCCGTTTTTTTACTCTCCTGTAAACTTGTCGTTTTTGACATTGAAGTACTGACTAGACTACGTAGGACTAGGACGATTAAAAGACCTCGTCCAGGCAAATATAGTGTAGAGCGCGCTCTAGGTAAGTGGAGTCACAATATCCGCAAGATAGCTGGCAGTGCCGATGCGGTAAGCTTAAGATCGAGCGCAGTGGAGTTAAACTGCAGAGGTCTAAGTCTAGCTGGGGACGTACAGGATAAGTAGATATTCCAAAGATAGTAATATAGTTATGAATCCGCATAACAAAATAGGTGTAACACCGATATTGAGCCAGTTATGATATTGAGTTCCGTGAAGCAGATGGTGGAAAACCATTTGTTGAAAGGTATTATGGGCGGATTTATTTTTGTTCCAATTTTAAATAGAAATTGTCTGCAACAATTATGATGTAGCAAAAAAAATATATTGAAATCTGTCCAGTAATCATTAGTTATGGAGACAAGCTAAAACGTTCTTAGACTGGGAAAGGCGAAGAGGTATGGATAACATTCCGATGTCAAGTAATGTAAGAGGACGCGTCAGCAGATCCTTCACTTTTGTTTGAAAGAGCAAACTAATGTTCAGATCTTGGTGTATAGCTACAGTTATTTAAATCGAATATACTTTTATTTTTTACTAAGTTTCTTTCGATAGATAGAGCAAAATAATAATAAATTATAAGTCCTATGTAAAAGAGAGCGAAATTATTGGCAATCACTTTTAGAAAATCTGCAATATTACGAATAGATATTCTCTCTAATATTAAGTTCTATACATTATGTTAGAAATACAAGTGAATTCAGTATCGTAGGATGCTTCGGAGTCACGACTATTCGTTATTTATTGATTGTAGAGTACTTTGAACTCAAAGGTGGCGAACATACCTAGGTGGTAAATGTATATAGGTACATATGTATATGGTTTTACTTCTTATAGTTTCATTTTCAAGATATAATTTAAGAATAATTTTCTTGGAGTATTTTTGTATAGTCATCGTTGCCGCGATGACCACCAGCTCATGAATACCATTCCCGTTGTAACAAGAAACTATTGTAGAGCTTATTTTAGTTGATTCACGTAGGTCGCTATTTCCACAGTTTCCATACGTATGTATGAACTTAAAATTAATCAGTCCATTTTATTATGTTTTTAAAACATAAAATATATGTATAACGGATTAATACTAAGTTTTATTGAAATCGGTTTCGAAGTTTCGATAATTCTTTATTTAAAAATTTGTTAAACCGCGTGTACGCACTTTGCATTGTTTCCTGATTATCAGAGAATAATTAATAAAGTTAATTAAATCACTTTGTATTAAGTCTAAAAAACTGAACTGTATACTGATTGATCATGCCGTCGGTAGCTCATAGCTCAATGTGTAGATATTAATCAATATATGATTACCTAGTTATTTCCACCATTAAACCTAGGCTACCTAAGTTTAGGTTTCATTTATCGACAGCTAGGCTTAAATGAAAGTGAAGGGCAGCGTAGGTTGTCGCATGTGTGATTAAAATTCTAATGCTATACAGGTCATTGCTATAACACTATTTATTTTTTAATTTTGTGTCCTACTGCGGTCTCAATAAAGTCGTTAGTCTGTCATTAAAATTCTTTTGATTGACGCTTGATTTTTCCTTAAAAAGTACTTAAATATTATTGAGAACTGAGTACTTTTGAAAATTAAATCCAATCGAAATATCAATAATAAACAGAAAAGAATTGAGTGTTAATTCACACTAAATTAATTTTACAGGAAAAGTATTCTATGTTTTAATTGCGCTACGATAAACGGGAGGAGACACACTTCATGTGTGTGGCTTAAAATCGAGGGAACACGTGGGCAAATCAACAACCAGACCTGAATAAGCTCTGTAGGTAAACGAACCACTTGCAAAAGTTAGTGCTACATGGAGAAACTATAATGTCATTTATTATTTAGTGGAATTGAAACTACAGATCAATTCAGAGAAGGAACAGGGGGGTTTTTAGTCGGTAAGAGTCTGACACTCCCTCCCGCTCGGCCCTGAGCGGGAGAAGTCATTTGATGATTTTCCCCTCACAAAAAAAAAGATTAATTCTGTAGTATAACATATACTATATACATGATACTAATAATGTTGTACAAACCAAGAATGTAACATAGATACAATACTTGTCTGTCTGTTAATCTGTCATCCAGTCTTTCTACAAATATTGAGAGGATTATCTCTAAAGAAACTTTAAGAATCTACTAAGAAATCAAGACTTCAATAAAAAATTGATTACCAGCGAATGAGGTTAAGAATACTTAACTTCTCAAAAACTTCTTATATTGAATACGATAAAATTCAATCGATTTAAAACAAAAAGTTTGTGTTAACAGGAATGAATTAAAGAATAATGACTAATAAAGATTGGAAAGGCAATGTTCTATTGTTAATCATTAATGACTCAGACTACTATAAGAAGCATAGTGAATAATCGTTTACCGCTTTACGTCTAGGCTCAATTCCTTCATATCTGTTGGTAGGTTTGCTATTAAAGTTATAATTTTAACACAGTATATAATATAGAACTGTGTCATAATTTAACATTGTAATAAACATTTTCAGATATACAGGTCTGTATTGTCTTTGGCTGTGTCATTGGAGTTTTTATTTAATTATTTAGACTTTTGCACATACATTTGTATACAAGGTATATATACCTAATTAATGCCACAGGCAGCAGGTAGGTGCAAGAAGCAAGCACAATCGAGATATTACTGATAAATATAAAATTTCGATCGAGATTTTCGTTTTTTTTTTTTTGTAATACATCAGCGAATATTATTCGCATATTAAAATTGAAAGCTTTTTATGAACATTTCATGTAAATATTTCGTCAGTCAGTTGATTCTATCACAGTTTAATTGCAGAACGAAAAAGGCTATCTTTCTGTAACTAGGAAAGGTAATTAATTACTTAGGATCACGCACTGTTAACTAAATAGTTTCTTTTGAATCTAGTATTTGTACATTATGTAGTACATGTAATACGTTTGTAATTAGGAACAAATATCGAGTTAATGATCGACACTTGCTTAATTAATTTAGGAATACATTTTTTCATTCGTTGATTGTGTTTTTGTATTACCGTAGTGTGTATTAAGTTTAAATATTGTTTAAGTTTATCATTTTATTAAAAGGATTTATAATATAAGTAATTATTTGAAATATGTTAATCCAAACTAATATTATAAATGCGAAAGTAACTCTGTCTTTTCTTCACGCCTTAACAACTGAACCGATTTCTGTGAAATTTGGTACAGACATAGTTTGGAACTCGAGAAAGGACATATGACAGTTTTAATACCAAGAATCTGCAGGAAGTCAATATTCCACGAGAACAGAATAGCGGGCAAAAGCTAGTTAAGACCAACTTTAAAATAATGCATAATATATTATTATATTATACGCCCAGCAATGGACGACATCAGGCTTATGATGATGATGATGTTATCTGTAGTTATTATTATAATATAGCAACCTAAGTTTGATGCGAAATTTCTAATGAAATGTCCACATAACCATGTATTTTGACATGCCAATGAGAAAATCTTTAGACTATGGGAACCGATTGTGATTTAATAATAAGCACCTATTGTTTGGATCATAGTAAGAAATAGCACAATGCCGTTTTAAAAGCTTAATACAAAAACGTAGATGGCGGTAATCGTTTGGCAAAAAAGGATAAAGCATTCACTGTCTGTTGGTAACTAATTATTATTTTGTGTAGGTAATAAACGAAAATAGATTTTCTAGTGACTGTTTCTTCTGTTTCTATTTATAATTGGTTTTATTTAAAGGTTTGAGGGTAAATCGTAGTCCATTCGTTCATCGAAGTTTGTTTTAAAATTATTATCAAAATTTAGGCCTTTAAAATGTTTGATTTCTTTTTTCAACACAATATAAAATTAAAGCTATAGATGAATAGCAACTTACCTGTTAGTCCCAGTTGATTACGCACACACAAATAAAACTGGTTGTGCATAAAATATAAAAGGAGATCTCGAAGATATTGTGACGACTCGAAAAAGATAACGTAGGGTACACAAACAAAAACTAATATTAAATTAGTTACAACTAAAATAACATAAAAATATATATTCTTAAACTTTATTACAAACCTTTTCTTGAATGTTACAATATTTCATTCACATTATTACATAAAACATCCCAATGCTAACCATCCATATGTACATTTAATGGTAACGATTAATAATTATTAATATAATAATAGAACCTTTAAATAAATGTATTCTAATCATAACCTATGACATTTGTAAGGTGAAAGTCTCTTCTACCAAAACGAACTAATAAATACAATTATTTGGTACAATAAAACTTTCATTAAAACCTAGAATATTATTAAAGCTATTAAAATGTCTAAGAAATATGACTATAATGATGTTGTGTTCCTATGTATATATACAAGTTATCCCATCAGTATAAAAATAGAGTATTATCTTCAATATTATCTTGTAAAATAAAATGTCTTGGAAGATAAACGAATGATAATTTGAAAACTGCAAAACGTAATATTTCCGTCTCAGACGATTTGCTTGCAGATTAAAAACCCAATTATTAAAATAATATCATCAGTCATTCTTGTTTTTATGGCCAGGGAAACCGGATCCTACTAGTGGGAGCCGCTTAAATCTAGTTAGAACTAGATTAATTCGAAATTTAGGTGTCTCCGGTGGTGACGGGTGGTGTTGTCGTTTTTCGTGGTACAAACGCGGGTCTAAAGTTAGGTCTGATTGGTTTGAAATATATTTTTCTTTCTGTCGTGGTCTTTGGACTTTCTGTTGTATATGTTCTTGTTGTGGTAAAAGTTTTAATGGCTACTTTGGGAGTGTTAGGCTTCTTCTTAAGATCTACGGGTACGTTTTGAACTCTGTTTGCACTGAAACGCGATTTGCTCGGACTGAAAGCAGTTTTGTTAGCTTTCTGGTTCAAATTGGATACTACAGTTGCATTGATTTTCTTAACAGTTCTTGGGACAATACTCGGTCGTGTAAAGTTTGAGGATTTTAAGATTTGTCTTCTTGGGAATGCAAACTTGGCACGTTTGGCATCCAAAGGAGATGCTTTCGCGGTGGTTGTTTCTTCAGGCACCGTTTCCATTGTAACTACAGAGTTAGGTGCTTCTGTTGATATCGTCGTCGGAACTTGTGTACTAGAAATTGTTGTTGAAAGTAAATCTATAATGGGACTTGAAGGATTTTCCGTTGATGTGGTCGTTGTGGTACTTGTCAATGAAACGTCAGTTGATAGAGTAGGTGTAGGTGTAGAAGGAGACGCTGTTGTACTTTCCGTGGTTTGAGGAATAACTGAAATATTAACAGGGTATTTGATGGTAGCCACTTCATCAGCAGACCCTCCGTTAAATTCTTGGCCCTTTGCAAACGTCAAAATGCTACGACCAGACTCAGGTTTTAACACCGACACTTTAACTATGTTAGCTTCCTCTTGCTGGCTAGATACTGGTGCAGAATAAACAACAAATGGTTGGTTCTTGTCATCGCCTACTTTTCGTGCCATAAGTGGGTTCTCAGTCTTAAACAGTCCTTCTAAAGGTAAAGTGGACGGATTAGTTAGCATTGATCGCGGTGTTACAATTTCAAAACTTTTTGCACTTCTAATTTGTTCATTCTCATATGCCGCAGGAACGAATTGCCATGAAGAGAATGGAGTACCTTCTTCTTTATCAGTTCTATTTTCTTCATTTACGTAACTTAAGAAATCATCATTTGGTAAATGTTCCACATGACTTTTGACTTCACCTTTAACATTGGAAACCTTCTTGACATGTCTGTAAGCTTCATTAATACTTTCGGACGCAACAAGGTTTTCTTTAGGAGCGTCAGGATAGGTATCGACTAAAGCCCTTGCATTTCTAGCTTCATCAATCCGTATAATATTTTCAGGTGGATGTTCAACAGGGTATACGTGACCGAATTTAGTCAAATAGATCGGGATTTCATCTTCAACTATTTTGATAAGACTGAATCTGCTAACTTCTCCAATTTTATCGACAACTGGTTTCTTTTCGACCATGATTTTTCCTTCTTCAATGAGTGTCGTTTCGTTGTTCTTGTTCAAGTGGTGTTTGTCTATTTTAGAATTGACTTCTACGACTCTACTGACTGAGAATAGCTTGTTGAATTGTGTTTTAATGATGGGTGTTGGTGGTGGGCTAGACTCAGTCGTGGTTGTAATGTCAACAGTTGTGGGCACTGGTTCAGTAATAATTTCTGTATTCGGTACAGTGTAAACTGGAGTGTTTTGTACGATTGTTGTTTTGATTTCAGCTTCAGTTTGGGAGTTAGTAGTACCATCTTGTGTAGTAGGTAGATTTGTGGTAGTGTCTGTACTTTCCAAGTAATCATCAGTACTATCATCAATTTCCATTTGATAAGTTGCAGTTTCCATTTGTATAGTGTTCGTTGTGGATACATCTTCAGAACTTGTTGCGTCCTTACCGTCGGTCGATATAGTAGAAGTCACCGTGAGATAATCGTCATCAAATGTTGTAGTGGTTTCTCCATCAGAGGCTGCACCAGTTGTGGTTGTTATATCCTTCGATTCTTTTTCAGCTTCTTGCGTTTCATTTTTGCTAGCAAGACCTTTAGGTCTAGGTGCACTAACTGGAGAGTTATAACCAGGTGGTACATTTTGTACTCGCTTTTTGCCGTCAACCGCTGGTTTATTGCTAAACCTGGTTGTGACACCGGTTCTGTTTTGAGAACTTGGGAATCTCCTTGGCAGTTCTGTAGTCGATGTAGAGGCTCTGAATGTATTTGAGTTAACGACACGAGGTCTGAAGCCTGGTCGTCTCGTAGTGAGAGCAAATCTTGATGGAGTATCTTCATCTTCAGCTTCTTCGTCATAAGGTCCTTCTTCTTCCTCGTCCAAAAGCTCCTCAGAATTTGCAACTTCTTCGCCTTCTTCTTCGGAATCAGGTTTCCTTGTGAACAATTGGTTTGGTGGCACGAAAACGAATGGGTTTTCTGGTTCCGGTTCTTCATCCAACACTTCTTCGTCGTTGTAATCTTCTTCATCTTCTTCCACTCTTTGAGTGGTTCTTGGAGTAAAAGGTCGCCTAGTAAACAATTTCGAAGAGAATGGTCTTCTTGTTGTTCCACTCGGCCTGAATGAAGGCCTGTCGGCCGTTGCCGGACTTGTGTAAACACCAGGATTATATTTACGGCTGAAAACTCTACTAGTTGATGCAACTGTGGGTTCTGTGGATGGTGTGTATAATTTCTTACGTGGCCTATATGGTAGCCTAGTTCTGCCTGATGGTGAAGTAGAAACAGTTGTGCTTACTGTAGTGGTTTCTGTTTGTGGATTCTCAGTTTCCGTAACAGACGATTCAGTGTTTGTTGTTTCTTTGTTTTCAGAAATGTTTATAGTCTTGCCTTCAGATATTACTGTTACGTCTGGTTGATTTTCAGGTTTACTTTCGGACTCCACATCTTTTTCAGCTTTAGGCACAGTGTTTTCTTTATTTTCTTCCGTAGGCTTAGTTTCAGTTTCAGATTGAGCATCTGATGCATCGGTGACTGTTACGCTTTCTTCATTTTTGTTTGCGTCCGTTTGACCATTAGTATTTGTTTCAACAGCTGTTGTAGTTTCTTCAATTACAGATTCAGTTGTTTTTGGAGTAACTTCTGTTGTAATCTCAACATTTTCACTCTGCAACTCTACTTTAATTTTCTTCTTTTTATAAAATTCAGTTACTTCTTCAATAATTGGCTCTGTTACACTTTCAGTAGTTGTAGTAGTCGATCGAGTTTTCTCGCCGTAGTTAAATTCTTCGGTAGTTGAACTTCTAAACGTGCTCAGAGAATCGACAGCTTTAGCTGTAATTTCTGGTTCTTCTTCGCTAGGTTTTATTTTTTTACGAATAATCTTGCGTATTCTCTGAGGACTAGGTCCAGTCGATACTACAGTTGATGGAACGGTTTCTGGAGCTAATGTTGTTGATGTAGGTCTACGTCTTATTACTCTAAATCTCTTTTTACCATCTTCGCTAGGTATTGTTTCGGTTGAAACAGTTCCATCATTCGCACCAGGTGCTCTCAGTTTTTTCACAATAACTCGACGTTTGGGTGCTTCTTCTTCCACCTCACTCTCTTCATGTTCTTTTTCTTCTCGTGCACTTTCAGATAGCAAAATATCATCGTTACGGTTTTCCGGCTCATCATCATCGTCGTCATTAGACAAAGTTTGTTGCGTAGTAGATTGACGAGATGGGAACGGTAACTTTCTGGCTACTATGTTAGGTGAAGCTGAAGGTGATGGCCTAGATCTACCAAATGGTAGACGTGGTGCAATCCTTTGAGTAGAAATTTCTTCTGGTGTATCAATGTTTTCCTCATTTTCATCAACTTCACTAGGCACTGATGTCGATCGGGTAAAAGGTCGTGGCGTAAATCGTGCAAAAGTTGGTCTTCTTTGAGCAAAGGACGAAACTGGCTGAGCAGTAGACTCTGTTGTAGAGCTTATTGTAAATCGACTGCGACCACGAGGCAAAAGATTTGGTCGCCTAGTTTCAAGCGTAGCAGCAGAACTTTCACTATCGGGGATAACATCAGAAACAGGGCTTGGGGTAGGTCTACGGAAACGCCTATCAGCTCTAGAACTAAAGCTGGAAACCTGCCTTGGAACAAATTGTGGTTCGATATCAATAGGAGTCAAAGAAATAACTTCATCCGGGTTCAAAATTTGTGGTTTAAATTGGCCTCTGGAAACGGGAGAAGCAGCGGCAGGAATCGAATCATCGCTTCGTGCATTTTGCGATAGTTGGAATCTACTTCTGAACCTTCTAGAGCCGGTAACCCTAGGTGTACCATCATCTACTTCACGACTATCAGGAGTGGTAGATCTAATTTTACGCGATACGTCAGCAGAATCGTCTGAATCCGAAGATATTTCGTTTGGCCTTGGCAATGGTCGTCGGCGGGTCACGAAAGAATAATTCCTGGGACTCACCTGGGTAGTGCTTGATGGTGCGGCAGTACTTGCTGGTGTAGTGGTGGAGCCTCGTCGTCTGATCAGAGTACGACGAGTGCTGGGACTGGGAGGTGCTTGAGTGGTTGTCGTGGTGGTAGTCGTTGTCGTTTCAACTACAGTCGTTGGCGCTGGTGATTCAGTCTCGGGAGTTTCGACTTCAGAACTCGGAGAGTTAAGTAAGGAGGATATTTGAACAGCTAGGACGGTAGTGGGGTCAGGGCTACTGGTTTCCTCGATAGCTACGGTGGTGGAACGTACTCTAAGTGTAGGGGATTCAGAGCTAGGCTCTTCTTCGGGACGGGTGGTAGCACGAGATCGTACAATAGAAGTGTACTGAGGTTGTGCAGATATTTCTCTTTCTAAAGCTGTCTCTTGCTGTTCTTCTTCTTCTTCAGAATTTGAGTATCTGGAAAAGAGAAATATACTCGTTAAAAGACAGTAGTAAAATGACACTACTTATTGCAGAGTAGATAATTTAAGACTTTTGTTATACAAAATCTACAACTTACTGGATAGTGGTAGTTTCCTCAGTAGTCGGTCGCTGTCTTCTAATGGTTACATACTCCGGAGTGTTTTCCCGTCTCGCGCTAATTATGTCTAGTGAGTTTGATGTGTCAGATACTGTCACTAGAGGCTCCGAGCGTTCAAATAGAGCATTTCTGTAATGAAAGGATTCCGTCAATTTTGACTAGCTTATTGTTTAAATTGATCTTGAAACCATAAATGTGGTCACTAATAATTTACAATCTATATTAATATATTATAAAGAGGTAAAATTTGTAAGTTCGTATGTAGGGGGTAATCTTTGGAACCGCAGGTCGGATTGCCAAAATTCTTTTACTGATGAAGTAATTTTTCATCATTAAAGATATTTTTCTTTAACAAGTAGATAAAGTTCAATACGTTCCTATTATCGACGCTAATACATTTAAGATAAATTGTATCTATCATGTCTTACCTTGAAGCCGTATCGTCAGCAGTATCTGATGTGGTTGGTCTAGCTCTCCTGATGTTCACATATTGCAATGGCTTAGCAGTAGTTCCGACCCTGGTCTCAGTCTCCACTGACTTGGCTCTGAAGACCTGCTGCACTTCTTCTTGTTCCTCTTCAGCCTCCTCACTTTCAGGAGTGGCTTCAGTTGTACCTTTGCCTCGTTGGCGATTGATCGTGGTATACCTGGATGATTAAGGTCATTTATTAAAAACTTAAATAATTACAACGAAGGGGCCATATTTTCTTATGTTGGACTTCTGAACAACCTCTATGCGTTTTTATTTTTTTCTTATTTTTAAATATTTATTTTATGAAATGTCGTTTAAAATGCTTACTGTGGTCGATCCTTTCTTAATAGCTTGTCCTTATCATTGGAAGGTTCAATGCCAGCGTTTTGAGGTCCACCACGGCTGTTTTGACCAGAATTTTCTAGAATGCTGTTTGGTCCGGTAAACCTGCAGAGAACGTAATAGATGAATTAAAATATAAGTTAAAAATAATTCTATACAAGTACAAATTAATTATTGACTTGAAGTTTTTTACACATTTAAAAATATAGACATATTCGTTAGTACATTAAAGAAGTGAATGAAGAAAGCTTACTTTATTATATTTAATTATAGGATAGGTTTCCCTTAAGACTTTCTGTAACCAGAATCCAACAATTTATTTCATAAAGATACTTCATGGTTGATACTATAGCCACTGACCTATTTCTGCCACGAGTCCTCTCCAACACCTTCTGGTACAGCTTCTTCTTGAATGGCGAAGGAGTTGTCGTGATGGCACCGTCGGTACTAGCTTGGTTGTTCTCACCATAGCCAAGTTGCTTCTCTAGCTGTTCGATACCACCTATGGAAATAGACAATACTCCATTACCCACTAATCTCTCGTCACGCAGTTTGCTTTCCTATTCCTTGGTTTTCCGTAGCTTCCTGTTCTTATAGCTTCCCACACAAGATTACCCAGAGAGATATTTTGGTATGATCATGGTGTTTTTTTTTTATTTTTGGTAGATATTTTGCAACTTACCAACTTTCTTGATGAGATCGATCAGTTCCTTAATGACCCTCGGATCTTCTGCGTCCTCGTCTGTCGGCTCTTCGAGTGATTCGTCTTCATATTCTTCTTCCTAATTAATAAAAAATACATCTTTATTACTTTTATTTACTTTACAAGTTATGACAAAAAAAATCTCAAATTTCTAGCAACCTCCAAACGATTTGCATTTAATCACGTCAATACTCTTTACTCTATTTAGGTGTGTGAAAAATAGCCTACAAACAAACAAATAAAAATATTGGCAGGTATGTGTGTTTGTAACATGCCCATGAAGATTTCTTACCACAGGTTCAGGAGTAGTAGTCGAAGTAGTTCTGAAGAGTGAGGAGCTCTTGGTGCTCAGTCTGATGGGTCGTCTGGTTGTAGTGGTAGTGGTCGTTGTGGTGGTGGTAGTGGTAGCAGCCTTAGTGGTGGGGGCTCGAGTGGTCGACGCTTTAGCAGGAGGGTCCTTGTTCTTGCAGAGCACATTGCGAGCAAAGTCACAAGAGTCAGCCGCCTTGTTGAAGTATAGACCTAAAACGAATGGAAGATGCTTTAGAATTTATTGGAAAAAAAAATAGAGTTGTTGTTAAATCAATGAGTCTTCAACTTTATAATCACATATAGTTAACTTTATTCAGCAATATTAATGATGTAGTGGTTGATATATTAGGGATTGTTATTTAATTTATGTCTATGTGTTTAAAAATATCTTACTCGGAACGATCTGAAAGTTATTGGGGAGAATGTCTTGTGATATAATGATGGTGAAATGAACTTACCAGAGGGACAGGTAAACTGATGAGCCACAATGCCAAGGTTGGAAGGTCCGGAGTCGAGACACCAGAAGTACTTCTTACAGTCACGAGGGTGAGGGTAGAAGCCTTCGTCGACACACTTGAAGTCTAAGAGAAGAAAATATAAAACGGTTGCGGCCAAATTCCAAAAATAAAAAGGAGATCTCTTTATAAGTCTGACTACTTTTAATTTTTTTTTTAAATGAAATTGTTGATTTCATGGTTGGCGCAGTGGCTACATGACCAGTTGTAATTCGATTTGTAGTATCCAAAAAATGTTGTACCAAGTATTGGTGTAGTGTACATACACATGTAAATGAAACTATGTCTTTGTAAGCGCTTCGTGATTTTATAATCCAGGCTCGTCATATAGATATAATTGCACTTTATTCTATATGAGATAGTTCAGCAAACAGATTATCTGATGACACACGTTATACCAAAATAGTTACTACAAGTGCGTATCCGGTCTTTTGTAGGGTATCACTTCATTTGAGCCGGCCCATTCGCGCCTTAGCATGGATCTCCCTCACTTGACTCGATTTGTAGTTAAAACAACAACAATATTCATAGCGATAAGTACCTGATCCTGGGTCAGGAGTGGTGGGTGGCTCCGGAGTGATGATGTTCCAAGCTGGAGTGGTGCTAGTCACGCTGGTACTTGTCTTACGACGGTTGCTCCTAAACGAGGAAAAAATGCACTAATAAGTGTTGGTAACTTGGTATTGGTATCTTCATTTAAGTTTGAGAACGACAATTTGACATGTTTTTTATAGAGCTTATGTTGCATTGGGGGCGTCGGAGCTAGAACTTGTAGAGGATACTAGTGCGGCCTACAGCTGCTTATAATGCACTCTTGCAATATAAGCAGCTGTAGGGCAGCACCCATTTGCTTTTTCAAGCTACCCGTGTGAATTAACTGTGCACCCGGTGTAGTAGTAACTTTGTCGGTACAAATTGCCAAAAATGTTAATCGCCCTAAAATATTATTCACCTGTATCGATTTAAAGTGCTTTTTATTCAATTCTTTATGATACGTATTAAACGGAAAGGGGACGAATTCCAGTAAGGCACATATGTAGTTGATTTGTAGCATTTGAGGGTTTTATTGTTACAGCAGAAACGTTAGTTTTTTATTTAAAATTCACGATTCTGACAATCTACTTACTTGGAAGCAGGTTTAGGAGTTGTGCTAGTGGTTGTGGTCGTGGTGGTAGTGCTCCTTGGTCTGCTCCTCCTTCTGGTGGTGGTGCGGGTCAAAGCCCTCTCCGTGATGGCGTTGTCAGTAGATCTAAAGATGATGTTAATGATTTAAATGAGATTTCTACAGACATCAAATTAATGTTGACACGGATTCAATATTGGCTTCGCACTTTTACTTGAAATATTTTAAATTGATCCAATGAGGTTATTATAATACCTATACGTAATACGGTATTTGAGAATTATTCAAATTTAATACTTTCAACAAAATTATAAAAACTATACTAAACTTTTTATGTCACTTCTCACTCTCTCAAAATAAAAAAATGAAGTATCATATATAATAATAATGTATATACAAACGATATTTTTTATTGCATTCAAAAGTTGAAATATAATTTTGACCTAGGAAGATACCCAACTGTACATTGTATTTACGTACACTTATTAAATAGTCTTTTGATGATTGTAGAAAATCAGGGCTAGTAATAGGGTGGATAGAAAATGAGTACTCAGACTCACCCAAGTTTAGCGAAATAAGATTCCTTGGCAGCTTCAATGAGCGGGTAGGGCTTATCGTGACACGCGCCGCGGAAGTCGTCGTTGTCGATAGACCAGAACATAATACCTGGAATACAAACATAAGGTTTTATTTTTAATGTGTTACAAATATTCTTCATATATTTTTAGAATTTTAATTATGGTATGGAAATTAAAATCGCGCAGCAATATGGCAATCGGTGGTTAGCTATTATATCAATATAAGTATACGGATTAACCATTCACTTTTATGAACACCCTTGATTGTATCATCCTTTAGGGATGCAAATGGCTCGTGTGATTTGACGATTTATATAATTTGCACAAAGAACATGTTACGTGGATATATAAATAAAGTGAATGTGACCGTAACCACAAGAATGTCCCCGGCCCGGAATATGAGCCAGAATAAGGTGGTTTTTAGACTGTAAGAGTGTTTGCGCGTGAGAAGTCAATATGCTTATCCTTCTACAAAAAAAAACCAAGAGATTGAGAAGAAGAATATCCAGCAAATTCAAAATGTTTTTATAAACTAACCTCCAAGGCCATTTTCTGCAACGTATTCAGCCTTCTTCCTGACAATGTCCACATCATCGTAGCCCACCCACTGGTTACCCTTGTAGGCCACGGGACCCATGGCGTCAGGGTTGGGATGCATCACCGTCCATTGCTCTTCCTCCTCATCATCATACTCCTCGGAATCTTCTTCTGATGTCTGACGCTTCTTCGCTTTAGGTTTGAGGGCTTCGCAGATCTGGAGAAAATTGTAGATCAATTTAGTTACATTATTTAAACGTTGTAGATGACTGATGAGGTTTTCATGATTTTTCTTCTTATAAGTATAAATTCACAAAAAGAATTGTTAGAAATATTGACTTTTTTTATTTATCAATCTGTTTTGAAAACTTAAGTTGAAATTGTTACTGAATTTAAATTGTTTTCAAAATTAAGAGTAGCTTAGTCCCAAATTGGTCTTTAAAAATCATTTAAATGTATCCATATTACTCGTACGAGTGTAGCTGTAAATTCTTTCTATACGACGTACTTCAGTGTAGTTGTGTATACTTCTAACCCCGAAAACCAAGATTGACCTTGAACACTTTACCACGAGATATAAACATGACAATAATCCGATTACAATTAATGACTGCATGGCTACAATGTCCGTCAATGACAAGTGATTGATATGGAGACAAGCTGGTATAAACCAGATATGGATCTTGATGGACTGATCTGATTATGTCTGCGGCAAATAATGCACAATAGCACAAATAGGACTTCTATTTACACTGACGATTTTCCGTGTCTTATTAAATGGCTGGCTTTGTAAGCAAATTAGTAAACTTGCCGATGTGACCACAATATCGGCCGAGTAGCATTTGGCCGGGTGGTATGCGATGACATTTACCATAAAACGATGACGCTTTGCCGATTGTCTGGTAGTACGATGGTGAAAAAGGTGAATCAAGGTGTGTAGCTCCCCGGACACAACGAACTGTTTTTTCAAATAATATCGACTATATTTTTTTACTGCTTGACTAACTGACTCAGTTTGGGAAACAAAAATGTCACTTAGCTTAATAATAACTTCTTTCCATAGTTATCATCTACCAGTTCAAAGCCACCCACACCTATAACCATATAATTTTCTATAGTCTTGCACTATAGTCCTGCATCAACCAGAGATTGTTTTGGGTGTACTTTTATAGTGAATACAGGGATAACAGCCGGCTGATGTCCCATCACATTTAGATTAAAACTATTCAACGGACCTCTGTAAGTTGGCTTCGGCCCCTAGTACGCCTTCCAAAGGTCCGGGATCCGGTGATCGTGAAAGGAATGAATTTCTTACCTCATAATAAGCTAAATATCCCTTCTCCCTTGTAGCATCTCCTTGTTCTCCAGGGCCGTCAGCTGGTGATCCGATTTCCACAGCATCAGGGTTGAACAGAGTGTAGGAGCGACCGTACGTGGGTATACCGAGGACCAGCTTCGAAGGATCTGCGCCACTTTCTATATAGAACTTGATTGTGTAATCCTGGAAACAGAAGGTAAATGGTTGAGGGCTTGTAGAACAATTCGATTGACAAAAGCAACCTGCTTTTGCGTTAGAAACATCAAAATGTCGCGATGAGGATTTTCATCTTAAACAAAATAATACTGAACTTAATAGCAAATTCTTTATTTGGATCGAAACTGGTGAAAAATTCGTATCGTTTTAAGTTTTAACATACGCAAAGCCCGCTAAGAGACATATTTAATCAAAAAGCCGCTAATAAAAATACACAAAGAAATATTATATAATTTCATCTGATTGCAGAGGAGATGTGGGAGAGCCATGCTTAGGCACGAATGGGTCGGCTCGACCGGAGTGATACCACGGCCTCACAGAAAACCGGCGTGTAACAACCACAGCGTTGTGTTTCGCCGTGTGAGTGAGGTTACCGGAGGCCCAATCCTTCCCCTCTCCCAATCCCTCCTCAATCCCTAAATCTCCAAATCCCTAATCCTTAAAAGTTCGGTAACTCCTCCGTTGCGGGTGTCCATGGGCGGCACTGATTGCTTACCATCAGGTAATCCGTCTGCTCGTTTACCGATCTATGACATAAAAAAAAGATACGAGTGCGTTACTAATCTTTCAGGGGTGAGTGCTTTAGGATTGGGGCATTTTGGCGATTGAGCATGAGAGAAGGAATTGGTCCTTACTCAGACAGTGAAACACACACTAAGCGTAGTTACATGCGCATGTCATTCAGTGAATATGGGGAAATCGTTCTTAATAGCTGGTCGTAGATACAATACTATACTGCAGTCACGAAGAAGATTTGATCAGCGCTCTCTAATAAAGCTCTTATCATTACAATAGGTTACCCAATCAAAATGACCTTGGTTCCTCATTGTCTGTGTACCGGTCTTAGGTCGTGATGATATTTTGCAAAGCCTATGTCTGGCTGCCGTCTACAATAGACTGGTCTGATTGATTTGTAGGTTACACTAGTTCTTTATTCACGTTTTAATATCTAGGACAGAAATAATATTGCTACCACGTACTGTTTGCTTTAAATATCTGTCGAAGGCATAAGGAACCGTTGCTTAGTGACATGTTTTGAATTTGGATAAGAGTTTTTAGTTACGTTCATGGAACATGGATGTTTCTACAGTTTTTTTTTATCACACACAAGTTATCATTGCGCCTTTGTCAGCGGCTTAATAATTTTTTTTAAATGGTTGATATTCTTAGTTTTTTTAATGTGATATGGAAAGAAGAAAGAGAAAGAAAACACATTTATTCGACAAATAGGCACACAAATACAAGTATATAAAAATACATAATAAGAACACAGTATTTATGAATACAATAATAAATTAATAAACAAAACAAGAATAACATATAAAGTATTAAAAAAGAAAATAAAACGCTAAAATAATAACAACATTCATGTGCCCATGCCAAAAGGGCCTCCACCTCAGCATATAGTTGAGCAAATATGCTCAACGCTGATTTTCAGGTGGCACCCTGCACTGACTCACGTCACGGACGGCGGTACCGCCAATCAGTAAAGAAAAGAAGTAAGAAACATAATGTGAATATAGAAGAAAGTGTGCGTGTGTGAAAATATTATCCAAATTATTCAGATATGAATACATTTTATATCATAATAAGTGAATACAATCTTTTTTTTTAAAATATGATACATAAGGGAGTTAATTGCTACATGTTCTTTTTTTAATTAACTGGGGGTTGTCGAAAAATGTTTTTGGCTATTTGTAGGTATACTAGACAGGTACTATTTAGTGACACCCGTGCTGAGCTCTCGTTCACTTTGTCGCGTACCCCCTCAAGGATACAGTTGCCCTCCACCAGCCACAGGACACAAAACTCAGGCAGCAAAGTTTACGAGTAGTGGAGTGATTGTAATAAAATAAATAAATAAAAGTAATGGCGAAGTGCAAGTAGTACAAACACCGTGATAACTCACACAAAAATGCAAAAACTTCCAAGTTAGTGTAAAAAGTAAGTAAAAATTGACTAATTTGGAATAATAAACTGAAATTAGATAAAAGACTTGTCAATATTCATGTCGCCGAATTTAATTTGAGATGTCACAATAAAAGATTTTAATTCTAACCTAAATTATTTTTTATTTTTCAGATCTCTAATTGGAGGCGGAATATTATTCCAACATTTGGAGGCCGCATAACGGAAGCTGCCACGAAAGGCTGCAGTCCTGTGCTGAGGAATGGCGAGCTGCTGAGCACATCGCCTACCCTCAAGCTCCCGGTGACTGCCAACCCATGCAAGCCTAGCGTACAGGTATGGAGGACACTTGTGTTTTATCACGTCGAACATAAGACAGGCGAGGTGGAGTTTACGACGTGATTTCATTTTTAAAACATTGTGTTTGTTTAAAAAAGGCGTAACATGACTCCTCGGTAGAACATTGTAGCAAAATCGTGCGCAAGCATTCTGTACTCTTTGTATTAATCTCCCAGTGCGTGCCAAAAGCCTGGGGCCTATGACTGTATCTGCGTAGTTTAGTTTTGATAAAACCAAACTTTCCACCAACCGCACACGCAGTTCCTCGCACAAGTAGGGTCGTATTTTATATAAGATATGGCAGCAAACGTAGGTGAAACGAACGTGGTAAATGGCAAGCAATCGGCGCCGGCGTCGCCATGGAGTCCCGCAACACCAGTGGAGTTATGATTACGTTTCCAGCTTTTGTGATTTAGGAACCAATGCCTCCTGGTCACCTCCCCAAGGAGGGATGGTGAGAAAGGATTGGGCTATAGTATTAATTAATTTGTATGTATACTTACAATGTTAAGTTCGTTGTCGACGCTGTACTCGTTGGGTTCTTCCAGTGGATAGAGAGGCGCGTGGTGGTTCACTGCGGGCTCAAAGGCGGAGTGGTAGTCGTACGATAACAGGTTCATCCAGTCCAAATACCTGAAATAATTTGTAGAAGTTATAACAAAAAACATTTTCTACCATTAATTTCAAGTGGCTAGTGAATAATTTTATCCTCGTATTCGAAGACTTTTAATTGGTTACTTAACCAAATATAAAATTGAATTTAATTAATAAATCTTGAATTAAGAATAGTTTTTCTTGAGTGAGAATATCATCATATTGAATGACTGCACAGTGGCTGGGCAACTGGCTGCTGTGCAACGTGTCGCGGTTTCGATTCCAGCACGAAACAACACTTTGTGTGATCCACAAATTGTTGTTTCGGATCTGGGTGTGTTGTGTATGTGAATTTGTATGTTTGTAAACGCACCCACGACACAGGAGAAAATCCCAGTGTGGAAAAATTTTCTCCTGTTCAACGTTTTTTAGAAAAAAAATAAAACTCTCGCCTTATTGGGGCGAGAGGGAGTTACAGACTCTTACTGACTTAAAACCAGTCTATTTCTTCTCCTGCTTAAGACCTGGGCTGCGGTATATCATTGCGCACATCTTTTTAGGCCGCATTTATTTGTGCACTATTATATATTTATCTAATACGCATTTACTGTATTTAAATTTATCGAAGCCATGCATGAATATAAATATTATTGTAATATAATATCGATCTTGATATTATCAAATCCAATCAAAACAAGATCATGTGATAAACAAAAAAAAATATTACTAACCTACTTTGAAAAAAAACCGACTTCAATTCTTGTAATCAATCTCGGAAATCAAATTCCAAGTAACATCTGACAAACCATATTTATCATTTTAAGATCGCCATGGGAACAGCCAGCTGTTAAATATGTACAGTGTAATTAAGTACATAAGGTCCAAAACCAAATTACCTTGACCTTTGCAACAATTCAGTCGGATTCCATAGCGTATCTTGTTCAAACCAGTTCGCCTACGTCCACTTACAACAGGTTAAATATCGACATCGTTATTTATTTTATCCTTATTTAAAAGTGATATTATAGTTGTGAGGTTCCGCATAATTAGTTAAACTTGGAGACTTGCTGCTAATGGGAGGTCTTGTTTTTATATAAATTTGGAAATGTAGGTAATTATATTTTTACAAGAAAACTAAGGCCAATTACTTATACTATCTATCCTACATTATCTAATCGTAAAAGTTGTTAAATATAAATAGGTTTATTGCTAAGTAATTGTTCACCTACAGTAACTGTTTCATAAATGAGGAAACCCCAGTAAGTAACCGGCTTCATCTAGTTTTTTACATATAATTTTGTCATGTAAAAGGACTGTTTTGAGGCATATTTACAAAAATAAAATCAATAACAAAAAAAAACAAAAGAAGAATATTATTTGCGATGGAATTGAATCACTCATTCTCTTAATACATTTCCAAAAATAATAATAACGAAAATGAAGACATAGACATACTTATAAAAAAGTTGTGTATAATAACACTGGATATGACATGACACGAGAACTGAAATCAGTACAGGTTACACAATAATAACATGTCAAAATTGTACATCACGGTAGGAAAACAACAACACGAATCCGAAATTTATAATTACATTTCAATTATCTATAGACGAGACCATATTATACGGAACTCCAAACAGTAGGTGCCTATACAAGTAATACTTACAATTACAGAACAAACGGCAGATGATTACAAATTTCCCGTACATAAGATTAATTGGGGAATAATAACGTGGGTTCAAAGACGGTACTGTGTTTGGAGAATTGAGTTCATCAATTTTATTGTGTTGGTAGTTTTGTGGGCGAATTTACATTAAAATTCATGTGTGACTTTGATTGTTTTGTTTCTATTTGAATGTATAAGATTTAAATAGGATGAGTGCGATTTAATTTCTTAACTTTTTATTGTGATTCAAGCTGTTAAACGTGACTAAGCACTTTTTTAAGAAAGGAAAAAGGCAGCCTATATTGTCTCGATCTATTTATTTAGTTATTTTCTCACACATTTATATGTTATACACATCGCACATAAAATAAATATTAAAACATCAACAGACACAGAGTACGTAGGTACCATACGAGGTGACATTTAATTAAAAATTTTAAATAAAGAGGCAACCTATTACTGGTTGGAGGTTTTAGAGGAACGGAGTGGTTTTTGGTCCGTAAGAGCCTGACACTACCTCTCTTGACTGCTACTTGACTCCTGTTGGCCGTAGCGCGTGTGTGCCTACTTATACCCGATAGTCTTCCATACTACTCAATTTGAACCAGCAATTCCTGAGATTAGCGCGTTCAGACAAACTCATCCACTCTATAATATTAGTACAGATTCCCATTAAAAAGGATCAAAACTTGCAAATCCGAAGTACTTAAACAGAATAATAATTATCTACAATTGTCAGCTACAGTTTATCTCTAAGCCCGAATCGCCCGCCATTGTTTTCGTAGGGCTTTGCGTAAATATCTTGAACAAAGCTAAACGTAACCAGAGCGTTGAAGGACAAGAGATCAGAATTATCACATCTCATTGTTCTAAGAACTATGGTAGCAACAATTTGATGAAACTCTGGATGTTAATGCAAGTATCAAAGTACTTGTGTATTTGTTTATTTTGTTAGCAGGTTAACTGTCCGTGTAAATGTAGTACTCTAGTTTTAACAAAACATTGTTTTATGATTTTAATTAAAGTTTAAACGTATGTAGGTAGGTATTGTTTTTGTTAAGATTGTGTAACTACAATAGTTGTTAGTAAATGTTTTTACAATTGTTTGTTTCTCGGTGACCGATTTTTATTTCGATTGCTTGTGTGATGTAAGTTTTCATTAAGGATCAATAAGGACAATATTTTTTTTCTAACTTACGATTCGGAGACAAAGTGAAGATACCTAAAAGATAATGAAGTTAACGAATAAATAATTAGCAATTTCATAGGTAAATACCCAATATTAAATTAAAGCAGCCTACTCTACTAGTAGGCTGCGCGACGTCGTAATAATTTAGTTAATTTAGCATGTCTCACGATAGTTATTATAAAAATACCCAAAAATATTTATATTATCTATTACAATAAACAGACTAGCACAACGATTTTATTATGTGCAAAAAATAAGAGTGGCCTAATCAATCATAAAAAAATTAACACAGAATTAAGAACGAAATAATTATGTCATGATTTTTATCATCTTTAAGTATGGGCGAGCCATGCTTCGGGACGTATTATGAGTCGTCTCGGCCGGAGTGATACCACGGCCTTACAGAAAACCGGCGTACATAGCGTTGTTTGTTGTACGCGCGAGTGACGTCACCGGAGGCCTTATCCTTCCACTTCCCAATCCGCCCCCAATTCCTCAATCTCCAAAACACTAATCCCCAAAAAGGTTGGCAATGCATTCGTGCTATTCCGTTATTGCGGGTGTCTATGGGTGGCACTGATTGCTTACGGTTCTCTAGTTTGTCGTTCTATCACAGAGAAAATCAAGTACAACATTTTTGCAACATCATGAAGACGTCTCGCATATGCGCATCACATGGCATACAAGGGCGTATCTTGCATAACCCCCTGTTCATGGCCACCACAGGCCCTCCCCTCCAACTCCCATTGTGCATTCAAACCTTACAATTGTATGCTTCATTCAAATCAGCTGGTACTTGCGAAACTAGCTAACATTGGAATACTATAATACTCGTATCAAGCGATGGGAACGAGCTGTAGGATTCTATGGGAACCATGGAAACGTCTGTTATTTAATTCAACTGTGTTTAAGAAGAGTATTTGCATAGAATCGCTGTTAGCTTTGTTATAGAAAGATAGACGTTGTTCATTTGTTTATATCATATCATTAACCTATTAGTTTTTTAAGTTTTATAAGTTTTTTAAGTGTGGGAGAGCTTCGGCACGAATGGGTCGGCTCGACCGGAGTGATACCACGGCCTCACAGAAAACCGGCGAGAAACAACCACAGCGTTGTGTTTCATCGTGTGAGTGCGGTTACCGGAGGCCCAATCCTTCCCCTTGCTCAATCCCTCCTCAATCCCTGAGTCTCCAAATCCCTATTCCTTAAAAGGTCGGCAACGCACTCGTAACTCCTCCGTTGCGGGTGTCCATGGGCGGCGGTGATTGCTTACATCAGGTAATCCGTCTGCTCGTTTGCCGTACTATTACATTAAAAAGTGCCCACTGCTAAGTAAAGTCCTCTGTTCAATCGGAGAAGGTTTTGAGCATTAATCAGCACCTAGGTCTCCTCACGGTGTTTTCCTTCACGTGTTTAAATAATTGGTAAGTATAATAATTGCTTTTAAAATCCGTTTCGGAGTTTAAGATTTAAAGCATACAAAGGGATATAGTAACAGAAAAAGTGACTTTGTTTTATAATATTTTGGGGATATTTTTTTATGGAATATGTCGGCAAACGAGCAGACGGATTACCTGAACGCAACGGAGGAGTAACGAGTGCGTTGCCGACCTTTTAAGGATTAGGGTTTTGGAGATTTAGGAATTGGGAGGGATTGGGGGAGGGGAAGGATTGGGCCTCCGGTAACCTCACTCACACGGCGAAACACAACGCTGTGGTTGTTTCACGTCGGTATTAGCCGACCCATTCGTGCCGAAGCATGGCTCTCCCACACTTAATACTAGTAACACTATTATAGCGTAGAGAATATCTTCAGTAGCTATTCGTCAATAAGTAGCGAAGTAGCGTAGTTGCTGTGACAGCGTTAGCGTTGCGAAGTGTCTTGTTAGTCAAACCTTTACATTTGCAATCATTAAAATTCCGATTTCGATCGTGTGACATTCTTAGTACGGGCATGGCTTGTCCGCTGGTACAAGTAAAAAGCGATGAGCTTATTATTAAAATACAATTTCAATAAATTTAATTAAATTCTCTTCTTCAATTTCAAGTACCAAGTTCAACCAGAATAAGTAATCAGTTCAGTCCAATAAGTTATGATTAAAAAAGGTACGGCAATGTTTTTGAAAAAGTGGTCCTGCGATAAAATCACAGTCTCTGAAATAGTTGTTTCCACCGAAAATCGAACCCAAGATACACGACAGCCTGTGGCCTAACCATGTAGTCTTATCGTTTCACTATTCCTTTCACGGCAATTCAAGTATAAATTTCTGATTAGGCTTATTAAGTTTGTTCCAAATAACACTGTTAGGTTTTTTCGACTATATACTACCTTCAAGAAAATAATAATAATTATATGTATAAATTTAAATCGCGATCGCCTACAACATTCACCGGCCTATTTTATTAGGCAATTTGACATTGAACCAGTAAATTAAACAAGTGTCGTGATGTGTATGGCTGTGTATGTAATGTGTGTATGGCGCAATGTATTTGCATGTGACAATTATGTATTTGCACTGTGTAGTCTTTAGTAATTTGTAGAATGTCATGATACCTCGTCGCTTGTTTTGTAATTTAAATGAAAATCATTATTTCGGCCAATTGTTTTAAATTGCCGTCGTACTAAGACAAAATGTTGACAATGTTTCAAAGACCATTTTTTGAGTCTTTGAAACTTAGTGGAGGTTGAAGGTCTCAGTTTCTTACATACGACAAGGTCCTGGATGCACGTCAGGGTATTTTTTTGTTTATAATTTGTGAGTAGTTTGTTTTGTTATAGTATTCTATTACATAATATATCGGTTACAAATCATACATTTGTAGTATGAACTACATTACGTTACTTATGATATATGGATACAACGTCGGCCTCGGCATGGAATAGAAGAAAGAATGAGGGTTTTGAGCCTGTAAGAGTCTGACACTTCTGAGAAGTCATTAGATGATATGCTCTACTCAAATAAATGATGGTTTGGACAAAACGTGAAACTAAACTAATTTTTAAGTTACTGATGTTTTCGTGTGAAGTTTCTCAATGAATTTAATTTAGATATTCCCCGCTAAAACTGTTGTCCATGTACAGGGCGTACTCCCATTTATTATCTCAAAATAAAATAATACTCACTGGTTAAGCGTCTTCACATCGAATCCCTTCTGTATGTACTCGATACCCGCTGGTACAGCCATGGTAAGCAGTAGTCTAGGCTTGCCAGTCTTCTCTGCTTCTCTCTCAAACTCTTCCCGAAGCTCCTTCACCAGCTTGGCGTAGTTCTCCCTGTCCTTCGGTTTTCCTCCGTCACGGAATGCTGGGTACTCCCAATCCAGGTCCAGGCCGTCGAAGCGGTTCTGTCTGAGGAACTGTGGAGGGATACAATTGGTTGTTAGTGGCAAGTTTTAATGGTGTTACTGTATTATGTTCGGGCTATTAAACTTAAGTGTTGCCACCGTCCATGTCCTAATAATGGACGCTCAATATGTCAATAAGCTTTAAATTTATAGTTTTCAGTGTCCATGGGCTGCTTCAATTGCTTACCATCAGGTAGACCGCTTGTTTGCCATCCTATCACGTAAAATAAAAAAAGGGAACCATTGGGCCTCCCGTAACCAGACTCACATGGCGAAACACAACGCTATGGGTTTTTCACGCCGGTTTTCTGTAAGGCCATGGTCTCACTTCTTGAGCCGATGCATTCGTGGCGAAGCATAGCTTATGTAGGTATTGAATGCAAACACTGTCCCAAATATTAATGATACTTTCGTAGTATCAACAATATTGTTAGCTATATTTTTATTATAACTTTCGTGAGATATTCTAAATTAATTATTATATTTTCGGCTTGCTCACGTAATAATTTGACGAGATACTCGACTAGTTTCAAGCCATGCTAGAAGCCCATATTCATGAGCAGCATTCCGCGACACGCGACGCGGTGACTGTCACGCTGCTAGAGTAGTAGAACTAGTCGAGTATCTCGTCAAATTATTACGTGAGTAAGCCGAAAACATAATAATTAATATTGTTAGCTATCAATATTCTGTCTAATTGCGGAGATATTTTTTTAAATTGGTGTTCGTGAGTCCAATTCACTTCACTTTGTAACATTATAAGTTTCTTAAAATATCTAAAATCATAATTTGGTTACAATTAAACCGTTAAGTTGCAAACATTTCTGGAATTGCAATAAAATGCAAGTGAAAGGATTTCTGAAGTAATGAAATACAAAAATTCAATTGAGAAAGATAAAAGTGGTTCACAAGTCAAGGTCACGACGAATTATTAAGACCAAACTGCACTCACGATATGTTTTAATTATACTTTCATTTTATTACAACGATAATTATGCATTATAACAATATGGCTGACAGAAATTTCACAGAATAACAAAAGTGACAGTTAATTTTAACATTAATCATATTTAAAATAAGAATTTCTCGAGAAAATAAGAAGCGTTATTGTGCGAAAAATACAAAATGGCTTCCATTTGAACACAAATTCACAGTCACGGTAAACGTATAATTCGTAATACATTGTAGTATTTTCTAATCTAATTTCTCACAGAGAGGTGCAATGTAATAAGAGTTCTATGGAGAAAGTAATAACTTCGAAAATACAATAACTTTTCATGTCTGATAAATGTATTTGAATAAAGCGACTACTTATCGATAAAGTGAAAATTATAACAATCGATGACAATGACTTCAAATACGCTCATATGCAATAAACAATTTGAAAATAAGAAAGATATATGATCGATCGTTTTAGTACTTTTTTTAAATTAGATAGTTGTCTCGGTCAAAATTTAACTCAAGTTTTCTTTTTATTTACTAGCCTATAATGTCCCACTGCTGGGCTAAGGTCTCCCCATCTGCATTCGGATATATGGGCCACTATTGTCACCCAGAGGACACCTCAGGATGGATGCCGCAGCCGAGGTAAGTCCCGGAAAAGATGGTGATGGCGATCTAGACGCCTATCGTCAAGACTGGTGGACACAGTCGAATGATCGGGAGGTGTTGAAGCGAGATAGGGAGGCCTTACTTTATATAGAATATAAAGTTTTAAATTACTACTACTAGTTGGAAACTACCATATTGTATGGTTTTCGAAAACTACCACTAAGCGCACGCGCGCGCGTTTGCCGTACAGGCAAAACAAACATTTCCCTCTCCAGTATTTTTCCTCGATCTCTTAACGCAGAAAATGAATCGTAATCACATCTATTTCCATATTTTTTAAACTTTCTATGGTACTTAAATTTTTCTTTTAATATTTTAATAAGAGGTGACTTATACCAAATAGGATACTTAGAACTAGGCTTAATCATTTTTACAGGTACATGTAAGCTGCATAATTTGTCTAATCTAGAGTAAAAAAGTGACGTAGCATCCTCCACTGTCCCTTTAACAAGATCATTATTCCAGTCAAAAGTGTCGAGTTCTTTCGATATTATTTCATAGTTAGCTAAATCAAACAAAAATTTAAGTCTTGGTTGAGTAGGTAACATATTATGATATTCCACGAAATCAAAGTTTATACAGAGAGATACGTGATGTGGGTCCTCAGAAACTAATGGTTCAGAACATTTAGCGACATCAAGGTAATTGTTGCTGAGAACCAGATCCAATATTCTATCATTTGTATTTTTGTGAGAGTTATACTGGAGAAAATTACCCGTATTTAAAATATCAAAAAACTCCGCTTGAATCAATCCTTGAATGTTACTAGGATCCAACGAATGCCCATCCCCCGACAAACTCCATTCTACATTGGGTAAATTAAAATCGCCTACAATAACAAAAGCATCCGTTAAATTATTTAATACGATGTCGTTTAATTTAGAGTAAAAACATGATAATTGTGTTTGCAATGAATTACCAAGATTGTTTTTACAAATATATGCTGTACAAATATGTATTTTGTAGGAGACTTTAGGTTGAGAGCGCTTAAGCACTAGGGTTACCCAAATGTCCTCGGCGGACGAACACCAGTCATTGCGTTCCTCGGCAACCAATTCTCTGCGAACAGCGATAAGCACACCCCCACCAAGGGTTTGATTCAAAACCGAGTAATTTCTGTCACGCCTCCAAACCAGATAATTATCTCCAAATAGTTCGTTATCATTGAAATCATCCTTTAACCAAGTCTCAGTCAAGCATATGAGATCATAATTATTTAAGCATACATTTCTAAGTAGTTGAGAAGTCTTAGTCCGCAAACCACGTACATTCTGATAATACAATTTAATAGCCATTTTTACAGATACGAGGTATTAGCAAAGGAAATAAACAATTTGATACGGAAGAATTCCACGTTTTTACCAAAATCCAAAACACAAGCTCCGTAAATACTAAAACACACAGATTAAATAAGCTAATAACAATCAATTGCGGAAGAAGCCAGTAATAAATATACTTATAGCCGAATAACTGTGTAGAAGGCGCATAAGCATCGTCAAGTTTATAAAAAATTGTTCGTTTAAAATAAGGTAACCACAAAAATACAAATGAATATACTATTAAAGGCAATGAAGCTTTAACGCATAAGACATAAGAACCACAATGCAAACAAAAGGCGCAGGTAGCCGGCTTCGACCCGAGCGATAAGAGAACAAAAGCGAGGCTCATTAGTAAATCTATTGAATAGGTGTAAAAAAATAACATACCAGTGTTTCTCAAAATACTTACGACTATAAACTTAATAATATTACATGCAAAAACTAGTAAAATTATAACTTGTGCCACTAATATATTTTCTTTAAATCCACATCTGACTTGATTGTGAGAGTGGGAGAAGTGGGATTTCTCTTCACAAAAATTTTGCAATTTTTGACCCACACATAAGTAAAATCCTTCTCTCTAGCCAGTGACTTTGCCTTATTGAGCAGCTGTTTATTCTCGAACGTTAAGTGGTCATTTACAAAAATCTTGCTATCGCCATTAAGACCCAAGTCAGAAGCCTTTATTGAGTGGTACTTCTTAGCCGCACTTACGAAGTCATCACGAAGATATCGATTGTGCAAAGAAACAATTATATTTTTGTTATCCTTATTTTTTCGCTGAGGAACTCTAGCAATGTAGTCAATTTGCTCCTTATTGACATGGCAATTGATGATGCTACCAATCTTCGATACAATCGTGTATAGGTTTTCAGATGCAGTTACCGGCACGCCCTTAATCTCCACATTATTCAACCGCGATCTCTGCTCATTATCACGAATTGAAACTTCAATCCTCTCCAAACGCTGCTCAAGGCGAGTAATGTCTTCTTTTGTTTTCTGCATCGTTTGAATTTCAGTCATATAATCTTATATCGATGTTTATTTGGAATATACATCATGTACCTAAATGTGCATTTCTAAATACTTTTCATAGAATACTCCTACTTTCTGCACGCGAAACAGATGCGAAAAGAGACTTTTTTGGATGGTAAATTAATGCTCACCTTGATAGCGTTCCTGACGAACTCCTTTCTCCTTTCCCTGGAGCCGACCATGGGAGAGAACCTGGTGGAGCCCTCGTTCCATCCGCCGATAGCCAGCATCGTCTTCAAGTTCTTGTTGTAAGTCTTTAAACCAGTGAATTTGGCATAACCACCTGCGTAGAAAAAGAAACTTAAATCTCACCCAAACAGAAATAGTTTATTTTTAATTTTACAATTTATTTATTTATTATATACTTTATTTTACATCACTTAATTACATAGCATTACTTACAAACTACAATTATTATGAGGAAAATTACAATGCTTCGTTGACTATATTTTAACGAAAGCATTTCAAATGGCACCCAACATGGGCCTCTGAAATACAACTGAAGTAATAGATAACAAGCAAGAATATAATTACCTTTCTCAATATCCTGGTATTTATCAAAAGGCTTTAGCGTGTTGTCCTTGGTGAATCCTCCGAAGGCGTATACAAGATGTGTGCAAAGGTAGGGGTTGATGTTCTGGGGGTTGAACTTGGCTGTGCCGGGTCGGTACACCGACCAGTTTGTGTAGTAACATACCACGCGGGGCTCGCTTGCTGATGCTGAAACAATAATGACGAAGTTAAGTAAGTGTGGGAGAGCCAAGCTTCGGCACGAATGAGTCGGCTCGACCGGTGTGATACCACGGCCTCACAGAATACTGGCGTGAAACAACCCACAGCGTTGTGTTTCGCCGTGTGAGTGAGGTTACCGGAGGCCCAATCCCTACTCTTCCCCTATCCCTTCCCAATCCTTATATCCGCAACTCCCATCCCCAAAAGGCCGGCAACGCACTCGTAACTTCTTTGGTGTTGCGGGTATTCATATGCGGCGCTGATTGCTTACCATCAGGTAATCCGTCTGCTCGTTTGCCGACCTATACCATAAAAAAGAAAAAAGTTAAGTTTTTGTGGGTAGCTGGCAAAATATGTCGATTTATTACTGTCATCGTATTACTTGTGGTATTAGAATGTGTTCGTTGATAACTCATGTTTCACAGAATATTATATAGGTGAACCGTCGAAAAAACGCGCAAATTTAAACCCGACAAGGTTTCATGTACAAATTTAATGTGACGGATCAAGTACAAAACACAATCAAATAGAGAACCTCCTCCTCCTTCTTATGAGGTCGGTATATCAGTAATAAAAAATTTTAAAAGCTTTACAATACAAGTATAACTCTTCGGTTAAATTCGCAATCTCAATGAAGAATAATTATTTTAATATGTCAGCCAATAAGTTACTCTATTTTCCACATTAATATATTTTCTCGTAAAATTCAGTACTATTATATTTAATTCATACTACATCACATATTATCGTGATATAGGTTTTAATTGATTGAATTATCAGTATGACTGATCATTGGATGAGTAGGCCCCAATTGCATCCCCTGGACAATCAAAATTAATAGCATTAAAAAGCTTTGCGCGTTAAAAATAATCATTCAGTCAGGCATTGTAGCCAAATCTCTTTCCTAACCCCTAAAAAGGTCGGCGATGCACATTTAACTCCTTGATACTGCAGGTGTTCCCGGCGAAGGTTGCTTACCATCACGTAATCAGTTGTTCAGCTCGTTTGACGACCTATAAAAACCTAAAACTAAATAACTCGGTATTAAAAAGAATACTAATATATTTATCGTTTGGTCGCCCCAACAATTCACTTAACATTAAATATCATTATTATAACCTAATAAAATTTCTTTGTAAATAACCTTTTGTTTCCCCGCTTGAAACAAGTCAGTTTCACTACATTATAGATTGCATACTTGACATTTAAGCAAAGCGGTTGTAACGGCAGACATTTTGCTAAATATTGCAAAGCATTTCCAATCAATTGCTGTGTCCAAAACGCTGGGAAAATTTAATACTGAAGCGGATTATATTTTATTGCTTCCATATCTATTCCATTCAGTTTATTGGTGCAACTGTGCAACTACATAGTATACTGTGTTACTACATAGTATAAAACAAAGTCGATTCTCTATCCGTACCTATAACCATATGTATCCTTAAATCTTTAAAAAGACACAACGACTTTTCATGCAGTTTTTCTAATAGATAGAGTGATTGAAAAGGAAGGTTCATATGTATGGAAAGCCACGACGAGTCGTTAATAAAGTAAATTTATAAAGCTACCAATAAAAAAATATGTTTAACTAGTCATTCTTCGATTCGGTGTCTTTTGCCTGATTACCGAGTAAACATTTACATTCTAACTAATTTAAAGAAAGATATCTTATTGGATATTAATTTTGTGCCTTAGAAAAGTATTTGAAGCCATTTCTTTTTTGTTCTTCTTCCATGAAAACCGTCAGATATATTTTTGCTTCAATTATTATAAATCATTTTTACTTTAATTTTATGTGAAAATTCAAATAGAGATTGGTGATACATACAGTACAGGGGTGTGATTCTGTAAGACTTCATTCTAAACTTCGAATCTGAATCCGCTGTGAGTAGTAGTACACTAGCGCTACACTTGCGAGTTGAACTAAATTGACAGCAATATTTTGATAGATAAAGTATGAGATGACGTTAAAAGTGGCATTCTAAAATTTAATTACCCTGTCACTTCGACACTCACTTCGCACTCGAACAAGATTCAAAATCAAACAAATTTTATAGAATCAACGTGCAGGACTAATCGACCTTTAATAAAGATCTTATTAACAAAATTAACTAAAAACTCAGAATAAACATCTTAGAAAAAGCAGGTTGATATTGCATTTTATATCATACGTATATGTATAACTATCATTAAATTTTCCCGGACGTGGAAAGCAGAGCAGTAAGTGTTACTACGTAACTTGTGAAGCGTGTAATAGCTTCAATGTGGACACGGCAGACATTATGACAGGCCGTGCTTTGTTGGATGTGCCCTCGTATTGTATGTAATGTGATATTCTTTGAGGTTACGCAACGTAGCTTTATGGTAGATTTTCCTTAAAGAAATGAAGAGGAAGGAGAAAGTAAAATGTGTTTTACAAAAGAGGATAAAGTCTTAAAAAATTGGTTTAAATGTTAAGCCTCTTGTACTAACTTCAGGTACACGTCATAATTAATTTAAAATCATTTATAAAGATTGATAGTACTTAGATGTAAAATTACATAAATAATTATACTGTGTTAATCTTATTGTTTTTTTTATTAAAATTCCACACAAATGTGCACTCCAAAAGCGGAGATTTAAATGTCAAAATCAAGGTCTCGTAATCTTTTTTAATTCGGTTATTACAGAGCTCTTTTAAATGTTAAAAAAAAGATAAAAAAAAATCAATCTGTCAGTAAGTTCTTCATTGAAGCAATTTCCTCTTACTCTTCAACAAACAAATTCATATTCTACCCAAACAGACAGAAAAACAAAGTAATAAAACACGTTATTCATTTGTTTACTCAAAGAAGTGTAAAAAAATATACCAATTATTGAGAAACACTAAGTATACTAACAAAGTTAACGCACGACTGGATTTCTAGACCCAGACTTATTGGATAACTGAAAGTGTTACTTTTAACATTTAATACCTCTATAACAACCGTACCAGCGCTACTTGTCAACCTGATCACGGTGGCTAATGTAACGGAAAATTACAAAAAGAAAATTATTTATGTTCAGTCGGTTTCATTAAAAAACAACTGAATTTTCTGCTGTACAATGTTACTCATCTATACTATCTATACTTCTATACTATTATTATTTTAAAGTTGTAGAGTTTGTTTGTTTCAACGCGCTAATCTCCGTAAAAACTGGTTCGAATTGAACAATTATTTTTGTGTTGTTTAGTCCATTTGTCGAGGAGTGCTATAAAATAGGCTATAAAACATCACTCTACGATCTGTAGGAGCAGAGCAGCGGGTGAAACCGCGCGAGAATAGCTAATTTTGTTTATGCTTTCAAAAGAGGTTAAAATTGTTTTACTTTATGTAGGTGTAGTAGTTTTAAAGGTTTTTTATGTGAGAAGGGAATTTTCAAATCGATTATTCCCCCAGGTTAGAGAGTGTCAGAATATTTCTGACTAAAAACACCCGTTCATTCTCCTATTACAGAAGCGGCCGCGGTCCCGCAACCCCGGTTGAGTAGCTTAAGAAAGAAAGAATTACGATATGTGTTGCAGAGTCATCTTTTGGCACAAATGGGCTGACTCCAAAGGAGTTATGCTACAGGCTCACAAAAACCTAGCGGGAAATCGTTTGCGTTGTGTTTTACTCTGTGGGTGTGTTTACCGGAAGCTCAATTTCTTCCCCCTCCCATCTCCAATATTGATATCCTCTGATCCTCAACACCCTCATCCCAAAATGCTGACAACGCCTCATCCGATGTTGCAGATGTACATGTAGCCGATCTGCTTATGTGCTAACACATCCCATAGAAAGTAGATACATAGGTAAAAAAAAACTTAAAGAACAGGTAAGGTAGCAACAGAACTTCTCATGCATTCTCTTACAAAGGCGTAAGTTAGTGTTTGTAAAAACATTTCGCACTTTTTTTAACATTTCCCGATCTCAACATCTTTCATTTGATAGATTTACATCATAGAGAACTAAATCCAACTTAGCCTAGATTTACAACTTAATGTTTAATTTTGAACTCTGTTGCAATTATTATACAACTCGAAATCATCTGCCAACAGTCAAGCCTTCAATTTAGCAATCTCTCAAATACTAATATCAATTGATGAAATATTAAACTATCAATAAAAACTTTCAATACATCATTTGTCAATCAACAATACAATTCATTTGCAATTATTAATTCTTAAGTAAGAGTAGCATAAAATAATTTTTGATGGACGTGTACAGGTAATTTTATTAATAGTGACATGATACGCTTATTACATAAATGTAGAATGTATTGCCTCTTTTTTAGCATAACTGATAAAATCTTGAACTAAGTATAAGAAAGCGATGCTTCAGCATAAAGAGGCTGGCTCGACCGAAATGATACGGCCACTCAGAAACGCGGTTAATCACAGCGTTGTGTTTGGCTGTGTGAGTATGGTTACCGGAGGCCCAATCCTTCCACCTACATCTATCCTGCCTCAACTTCTATGGTTCTGCGAGTTTTGTCCCTAGAGGGGGCTTATTGCTTTCCATCAGGTCTACTCATTTGAGAGGACTGATTTCGTAGACATAGACGTAGATATTGTAGACAAAAAAAGTCTAAATCTGTTTCTTTTGCATTTATATATTATTTTACATGTTTACGATTCCCATATTCGCCACAAAACGAATTTCGGCAGACTTATGTTAAAAGAACATCATAGTTTACACTGGATCAACAAATTACGCCTACGTAAGTAAAACTGCAAGCAAGATATCTTTCATACTAAACCACAGCTTCACGGTTGACCGACTGAGCAATGAGATGTTATGTGTTACGATCACACGCTCTATGGTCACTTCACATCTCTGCCAATAACATAGACTGGGCTTGGCTGTGTCATCAAGTTGTACGACCTTTGTCAAGTTATTTATTCGGTTGTTCTCTTAAAATAGTCTGCCTTTTTGATGGCTGTTTTAGGCACCTATTGCCTAAACCAGCCATCAAAAAGGCACCTATTGCCTAAACCAGCCATCAAAAAGGCAGATTGTTTAAGTACGATTTCATAAACATACTTTAAAATTAGATCTAGGAAAATAATAACATAATGATATATGGTGAAAAGAACCCGGAACAACAAACTGTGGATCACACAAAGAGTTGTTCCGTGCGGGAATCGAACCCGCAACACGTTGCACGCAGTTGCAGTTGCCCAGCCACCACGCCAAGCGTGCCGATTTATTTGCACAATGAATCAACGGTGAATCTCAAAGTCACTTGTTTTTAGCTCTGACTTTATATTTATTCCAACTAAACCACTTTTGAAATATCAAAATATAATAATAGACCTTCAGTCTGTTCCTCAGTGAAGCTAGATGCTCGTTCTAAAGTACAGATTCGAATTGAGAAGAACGAGCAAGAAACACCATGGCGAGTGGCCATGGTGTTCTTAATAAAAAATAGGTGTTTATGTTTCTACTTGAAAATATCTGTGTATGTTTAAACACAATATATATAACTTATCTAAGTATGTATGTAACTACATAATCTCGGACGCTCGAAGGCTTTACTCACTGCCGAGGAATTCACATCGTGACTCACAAGACGAATCGCTTTAAACTTATCTTCGAGCTTTTCAATAAGGCTTCTGATTGCATTGTCTTGGTGTAAAATACATGGCCTGTAGCTATTTAGTAATTACTAGGTATTATATAGGACTATATTTTTATTATGAACCAAAGGTTACGCCAATTGGAGTGTCTAATTAAATATTTACTAGCGACACGCCCCGGCTCCGCACTAGTGCATTGCTGTTACTTAATTCATCCACTATTTAATGGATGGTATTGTACATATAAATCTTTCTATTCAATTACGTTATCTTTTAAAAAACACATCAAAAGGTATATGTATAGGGACAGAGCTACTTTGTAGTGCTGTAGTGATAATTTTACGGTGTTTTATTTGATTGTGCTAAAAACTTTACGAATACCTACAGCAACAAATATGATTCTAATAACAAATACATAGTTAAGTTTAGCATATCCTTACTAATATATTATCATGGATATTAATCTATATGCTTATGTACACAATTATTGATACTATTGATAGACTAAATTGGCATTCTAATATTCAATTCGATACGGATTAACAGAAAAAAAACAATTCAATTGTCAATTGTAAAAATGTACACAACACATGTATTGAAAGGTCATCGTCCTCTCCCCGCAGCTTTAGCATTTTATGCGTTTTTTGCAATAAGATAAAATAAACGAAGTTCAGTAACCAAGCACAAAGAAATTGCAGGAATCCATAATGCATTCAAGGAAAAGTATACAGCTGTACAGCCAGCTGTTTAAGGATGTATAATGAGTATTCGTTTGATTTATTTGTTTGTCGGTCATCGTGCAGAGTTCTCAGAAATCAAACAAGCTTTCTTTGTTTTTATACTTTTAGTTTATGCCTTCGTTTATTTCAAACGTAATTTAAACAATCCTAAATCAATATAAAACTTAATATTAACCTTTATTTTCGTTACAACAATCAAACATCAGGCCAAGTATTTTCAAATGTTTTAACAATATTCAACATTTAATTTTACTTATCAGGCAAAATATATCATGTAAAACAACGAAAGTGTCTTCGTGCTTTAAAAATAAACTGCAGAAAATAGTCTTAAGCTAAGGTCGTCGTTCGATGCGCCGGCGCAGCGTGCGGCAAAACGTGGGACTAATGATCCATTGTTCGGGATTCACTTCCAACCACTCACGTTTACATGACATTGGAATATATGTACTATCATTTGTATAAAGAACCACCTGCTACGGGATTTTGGACTCTTTCTTATTAAATATAAAACTTATTTTGAGTTTTTTACTCTATCTGTCTTTGTTGCAGACGTCTTTATGAAATTATAAAAAAGTAAACTAAAATATGAAATTTGTTTATTGAATATCTATAAAAGTTTTTTTTAATCTTCCTGTATTTGAGTCAGATTTCTTGTGGCTACACTATTTGGACCCTTAGAAGTACAGACACGAAAATCTTAGGAAGTATGTAACTGCCGTCCAATAATTTATCTAATGATTATGTATATTAGTTAAACTATTCTTTAGTAATGATTTTGTTCCGAAAGTAATCTGTTAATACTGAGTTTAGTTATCATTAAATGGCTAAAATACGGCGATAAGTGATTTAATTAAAAAATAATAATCGCTGAATTCATACAATGATGCCTGTAGACAGATTTACTTAAAATATACGAATGTTATGTATTTAAAAAAAAACGATATAGAAATCTACTCTACTATCTATGTATTTATAAAAATTGCTACAGATAATTGATCGTCTATTGATCAAGTTTTTTTTACTTCAACACTAATGGATGGCCAGTATTTAAATAAAAATAAAACGTTTCTTCTTTAAAAGGAAAACACAAGATTGTTCTTGATCTTCTAAGAAGAGGTGTTTTAGCTAAATAAGGCAGTTTGCGTGGGTAGCAGGTTTATGCAAATTACATCATTGGACGGAAATACATATGTATGTGTGTGTTTTTGTGTTTACATCTTAGATAACTTCAGACGAAATAATGTATAAATACTTGTATTTTAAAGTCAAAGTCAATAAAAGTAAAAATAAGACAAATATTATATCTCACTTAAAAATATTTTTGTAATAGTAAGTTTTGTGTTTCTGTTTAGAAGCTTAATTATAGGTTGAGTGTTATAACGAACACCCAAAAAGAACTCTTAGACTAGATTCCCGAGGAGCACATTATTCTATTTCGTTTTTTGAAAATGTCTTTGGAATAGCAAAAAATATGTTAGTTTAACGAGTCTTATTACAGTAACCTACATACTAAACATAATAAATTGTAGATTCATAATTATAGTAACCGACATATTAAGCATAATAAATTGTAGAATTATATGTGATGTAATAATTTTATAAAAATATTGTTAGTATTTATTTACCTGTGGTTCCTAATGCTAAAACTGCTAACAGTAATGACAGCCACGTTGTGACCTCCTGTGAACAAAAGAAAAACATAATTAGAAAAGAAACACAAAAGACACAAATAACAATTTAAAATCTTTACAAGAAATTACATTTTGAAATGAAATGGAAAGTAAATCAATGACGAAACTGTCTTAGTCAATCATTTAGTAACTATCACACAAAAACTCATACAAACATACAATAATTTCAAGAACTTGAACTGCGTGAATGAACTCGACCACACAATGAATATTTCCTTCACAATAGGAGCAAGAAAACCTCCATTGTACATTGTATGCAACACAATCGTTACTTTTTGAAGTAGACGAAAAAGATGCGCGAACTGTGGTCGCGCGTTGATGTCTTTTATATGAAGATTTATTAATGTATTGACATGGATGGCATTTTACGTAGGCCTTCTTTTGTAAAAAAGTCATGAATATCGTTTACATATTAAATCAAGGTTTGATAAATAACTGAACTGAAGGATAAGCAGAGGTGCTCAAAAATGTATTTAAAACTATCATAATTTGGAACGGAAATCAATAAAACAAATGAACCTATTTATATAAGGATTAGCAAACTTAAGTGGCAGTGGGCAGGTCACATCTGTCGAAGAACCGATGACCGATGGAGTAAACGTGTTCTAGAGTGGAGACCACGTCTAGGCAAGCGTAGTGTGGGGCGCCCTCCAGCTAGGTGGACTGACGACATCCGCAGGGTGGCTGGCAGTGGACGACAACAGGCTGATGATGATGATGATGATATAAGGTATTAAATAAAAACTGCATACGTTCAAACTTTTATCGTTTTCTAGTTATGATATCAAAGAGCAAAGATACTGGACTCTTAAATTGTCTCTGCTTCTTCTCCCAGAGAGGGCAGGTAGAAACATATACCATTTAATTGGCAGATATCTTAGTACTATATACGATTCAGGTACCAAATCTATCCTTAACAGACAACCGTTCAACGAACGAGGAAGACATCCAAGTCTCATCCATAAATGAATTTTAATGGCGCAGTAATTTAGTACTGTCTGCTAAAGCTATTTCTGGAATGAATAATGCTTTTAAAAACCATCCACAAAATGATAAATGTATTAAAAAGAAATTAAAAAAGCTAGTGATGTTCGTTCAAGGTGAACCAGGAAATAAAAAAGTTTCCAGCAAAGCCATTAAGCTTGTTAGTCGTCGTATTTTCTTAATTATACCTACAACAAGAGCCTTAACTTCATTTACATATGCACTATAAATATATATGTATATGTATTTAAAGCTTTGTATATACATACAACAGCTTATTATTATCGAAGGAAGTACCTAAGTACAGCTTAATGGTAATTTCCGTTTTTATTTGTATTCAGTTATTTACTTAAATTAGATTTGCGATAAGAACACTGATGCTGTTATTCAAGATTGTAAGATGAGAAGATTTTTGCGACTCCGTTGCACATGATTGTGTTGAAGATTGCTCACAATTTCTTTTATTAAAAATGGCCTAGAATTAACCGAAGGCTTTAAGTATCTACAAAAGGATGGCAAAGGATACTCCTCTGCCACACAGATGCCAAACATATCTTTAAGAACACAAATAAGAAGAACAAAGGACTATGATGTATTGGGTATTTTTGTACATATTTACGCAAATATTACGCTGTGTACCTGTACAAGTTACCGCTGAGTATAGTGATAAAAAAAAATGAATGAGCTTCGTTTCAATAACGTATCCTCAAAACAAATTTCTTCAAACATATTTTTCTAGGTATCTTCAGTGTACGAAACAATAAAGGTATTCAGTCCACTATTATTGCATGTTATATAATGTAAAATTTACGAAATAGTTTCGCACTTATTACAAGAGGTGCAACAATTTCTTTGTTAAAATCCAAAAAAGTTTCAATGTGACCTCATTTGTACATACATTGTTTACTGTGTGATATTCCACTAACACTGTGCTATATTTCCTTCTATATTTTGTATTATTTATTTATAGTATTTCTATAGTTAGTATTTTACGAAGAAATTAGTTTACTTTTAGTTTAGAAAATGGGGTTTTTAGAAAGGAGAGAATATTAATTATGTATTACTTGTATGATCCACAAATTAATGTTATGAATCCGGATAAAACAATGACACAGCACTTTTACTCGTCAAAATTGTATAAAAAAACCGAATGAAGCCTGCATTTCCTATCTGACTACTCTGAGAAAGAAATGACGAAACAAACTCAGAGGTCCAGACACAAACTCAGAGATGTATTACTTATGTATTTATAAATGAATCCACAATAACGGTGAATAGCCAATTGTGGGACAAATTAAAAAAAAACATTTTCATTAACATTTTATTGAAAATAACGTCACATCGAAACTCCTATGCATGAGCAGTGAAACTAATAGAGCTTTTCACAGTTTAATCACGTGAGTAATTCGTTATTTTCAATAAATTAAATTTGTCTCACGATAGTTACTATTTCAAAATAGTTTCATTCATTATTAAACTAGTTCACACAGCCATAAAAATAAAGTCATTAAATATTCCATTGCAGTCCTTTCAAGCCATACCATACGCCACCAACAACGAACCTTTACGATGCATGTCACGAAAGCCAATTAAACATTATAGGTTAGTGTACCCGTTATCAGCGGGTACTGATAGTTACTGATCAATGGCCACCCAGTCCCCGTTATAGTTATAACTGTACTATTTCTGTGATTTGAATATTCATTGTCACTTGTTATAGGTATGTGGATCGTCTGTATGCCTTCCTGTTTGTGTCCATATATCGTCAATGTCCCGTTCAACTGTCCAGAATCAGGATATCTTGGACAACAGGTCGCATTTACAAAATAATGTTTCTTATGTAAGCCCCACGCTATTGGCAGGCAGTTCGAAGATTTTTTTTTCAAAGCTGGTGATGTCATTATATTTCTTTTCTCGCCAAGGGCATGGCGAGAGGAAGTGACAGAGTTTTACTGAATAAAACCCCCCGTTCCTTCCTGCTCTAGGTCGAGGTTGGAGGTTGCAGTTTAGAAATTTCAAGAGTATAAAAGATCTCCGCTACCTGGTCTTAATTAAATGTGAAGATTTAGGTAACTACACCTCATAAAATGCGTATCTTACATACCTACATTCACCAGATTTAGATGCACCATAAATTGTATGCGTTTGGACTACTTTATAACCACAGACCGCAACCACAAGGAAGTAGCAACACCATGAAATAAAAACAGTTAACCAATACATAATTGAAAACTTGCAACTTGAACTCAAAAAGTTCGAATTCCAATCCTAACCATGGTTAACCGATTATCCACACGTGTAGCAGTTAAGTCGTAACGGTTAGCGTTGGGTAACCGCGGGCTACCATGACGCAACGCTGGGCACCGCCAGTTAGAGTTAGATAATATAATTATTGTTTACATACTTGTTGAACATCGTTTGATAAGGATTATGTTAGGTTAATTGTGATGTCTAGTCTATCTAGCTAGTGTATCTAGAGATTCTAGGGGTAATCTAGATAAATATGACTAAGTGCTTGCGTAATGTGCAAGTTGATTGTGCACCGTCGGACTGTCTGTTCATAATTTAATTTGTAACTAACTGTCGATTTACGACGACCCTTCAGCAAAATAATTTCTATCGATTTTTTTATGTCATGAGTATATTCAAATCCTTACTGGAACCACGAACTACTTACATCAATAACATGCAGGTTACTTCATCTTATTTTAATGAAGTTATTAGCGATAACATTCATACCAGGTTGCGTAGAATGCTATAGCTGTATAAACGAGTATAATAATGTATTTATCTTCTTACAAACATTAATTTGCAGTATTTTCATTATTCTATTCTATATAAAAAGTAAGCCTAATTAATTTCCCTTGGTAGGGGCATTACTCATGAACAACTAGACGTATTCTAAAAGTATAGCGGTAAATCGTCGCTCTCAAGGTAGGTACACCCGCATTAAGCAGGGCTGGATGGTTGGCTAGTTCTGTACATAAAGAATTTCCTTAACAAATATTAAATCTGAGAGTTCACAGTGATGTTACAAACTTTACACAATTTATAGCCGCAAGTTTACATAAGAAATTGCATATGCTATTGTTATTGCTCTGGAGGTAAGTTGTGCAATGTTCACAGGCGTTTAAAAACCGCTTTGCATAGTCAAAGTATAAGGAAATGTGAAGAGAAACGATTGCCACGCTGTAATATTGTTAGGAACTCGTTTTATGGAGAGCGAGTAGTTTGATGGGTGTAATGATATTTGCAATACAAGCGCGTCTAATCTATCGATTTGGTTCATACAAAATAAGTTTTTTTTTATTTTTTATTGAATAGATTACACGTGAGTAACCCGCGAATTTTAGTATGTCTCACGATAGTTTTTATTGAATAGGTCGGCAAACGAGCAGACGGATTACCTGATGGTAAGTAATCAGCGACGCCCATGGACACCCGTAACGGAGGAGTAACGAGTGCGTTGCCGACCTTTTAGGGATTAGGGTTTTGGAGATTTAGGGATTGGGAGGGATCGGGGGAGGGGAAGGATTGGGTCTCCGGTAACCTCACTCACACGGCGAAACACAACGCTGTGGTTGTTTCACGTCGATATTCTGTGAGGCCGTGGTATCACTCCGGTCGAGCCGACCCATTCGTGCCGAAGCTTGGCTCTCCCACACTTTGCACAAGTTGCTTTGGAATTTCCGTACATAGGTCATATTAATCTTTCTTTTCGTATTTCAATGTAACATTGCGTTAATAAAACGCGTATGAATTCAATTACATGTAAAAATATTTGTTTAGTTCTAGTCTAAAAGTTCAAGCTTTATAGTTTATTATATGTCACTTCTGGAATGATGGCCTTACAAAAAATCGTCTTGACTGAGACACTGGTTGCACTGGGTTTCGTCGAGTGCGTGCGGTTACCAGAGAAACCTCTTATGAAGTTGCCATGAGCGGTGCCAATAATTGCTGACCATCATCGGCCTTATCCTATAAAAAGGCTGACAGATAAAATCA